CCGATCTTCGAATGTCGACTTCCAATGAGTATATTCTCTTCCCTGCCTGTTTATATATATATATAAACTGAGGTGAAGGAAGAGAATATGTTGTTGATGCCATCAGTCTTGAATAATTCTGACTGATAAACCAATGTTTAAAAAAGAGTTGAAAAGCAACATTTATAAGTAATAACTTAGCATTACTTTCAGGACTGTGTTTGTTTATTTTCATGCTACAATTTTGAACCAAGATCACTTTATGTTGGGAAATTACAGAGTTTGATGATCTATCAGCACTTAAAGCAGATGTTGTCAATTACTCTCAGCTACTACCACACCAAACTTTAGCTCAATGTCTGTAAAATTGGCAGAGTAAAATGAATTTTCGTGTTTGATATAAATGATAGCTCTGTCAGCCATCTTGAACTGATTTGACTCCAAACGTTAATAATTTGTATACATTTATCCAGTCATTACTTTCTGGGAGTTTCAGTGAAATATGTCCAGTGGTTCATGAGATATTTTTCTACCAGACAGTCACGATTGGTTCACAGTTTTTCCGCAAAGATCTTGTGCAACAAGTAGCAGCTAGAGTATGTGTTGAAGGTGGCTCTAAGCTACTACCACACCAAATTTTAGCTCAATGTCTGTAAAACCAACAGAATTATCTCCACTTTTGCGTCTTCTCAATTGAGTTTACTGTGGCGGCCATATTGAAATGGCTTGGTTACGAAACGTAATCGGTAGCACAGATACATCCAGTAAATATTAACTGAAAGTTTCAGTAAAATCTGCCCTATTGTTCATGAGATATTTTGCTAACAGACAGACAAAGTAAAAAAAAAAATCACTATCACCTGCCTTCACCTTTCAGTGGCGCGCAGTAACACAGAAACAAGCCTCCTGAATATGTAATTCTGATAGATTAGTTTAGAAGTTAATATCTGAATAAAATATTTAAAGCATTTTATTATTATAACATCAATCCCAAAATGTCACCTATATTTTTTATTGTTCCAAACCCATGTTAGAAACTGCATCAGGTGCTTGTTTAGTTACTTCCAATCTTCTTAAGCCGTGTTTAATACTTGGTTTAATTCACTCTCGTGTTGTGTAAACTTGTGAGTGTCACCGTTTTTGGATCAAACTCCTACAGACAAAGTTTTAGTAGCTCATCAAGATTTCTTTGACATGCAGGCAGGAGGGGAGGGACGATCTGGAGGGTGGAGAAGAAGCATTTCTATACAATACAAAGAGCAGACACTGCGTCGTTAGCTCTGCTCACACAGACTCATGTTTGCACTGCTGTTGTCGGCCTATTAATGTTTTTGCATTATTGTTTAGCGTATTCTTAGTTTAGAGTATTTCTTAGTTCATATCTGTTTTTCTTTAACAATTTATGCTTTTGTTGGATGTAACTGGGACCCTGTGTACACAATTTCGTTTCACCACATGCAGTGTGAATGACAGTAAAGAACCTTGACCTCGACCTTTAGGTGTTCTACTAAGAAACCTGATAACCTGCGAGAACATACTGTGCAAAGAGTGTGAACAGTCATTTATCACTTCAACAGATTTTATTATTTAATTTTTTTTTGACAGACCTACCTAATAAAACTTCAACTGTATGAATGTAGTGAAAAAGGTGACTGATTGTGCAGATTTTTTTTTTGATTATAAATTGTTCTTTTAAAATTAGTTCCACATATACAGCATGCAGTGAAAAGACATTAGTTATTTGTATTAAAAAAAAAAAAATTTTTTAGGTGTGTATATACCACAAATATGTCCTTTCCTTTAAAAACCTTTCAGGCACATACTGTATAATTCAATTCAATTCAGAGTTTATTTACATAGCACATTTGGAAACAACCACAGGTGACCAAAGTGCTTCACAAGACTACAACATCGTAGATAAAATATGATAAAATATAATAAAATATGATAAACAAAATAAAATTGTTTAAAAGATAAAAATATGATCAAATTTGTAGTAAAATACCAATAAAACAATAGTACTAATAAAAACCAAGACAGCTATTGCATATGTGCTGTATTAACCCAAAACGCACATCAGCTATTTATCATGGATTTACTTGTTGAAATGGCTTATGCCAGAGTTATAATTCTATTCTATTCTATTCTAAAGTATTTTTTCTTCTGTCTGGTTCTATTTTCACAGAGTAGTCTATCTTACTGATAAATGCATTTTATTTTTTTGTCTTTACTGAAAAGAAAAAAAATACAAAATGTAATAGAACAAGGCATATAACAAGAAAAACATGTTCACAGTTGATATGACAAGAAAAACTAAGCAGAAATTATGAATAGAAATATAATTAGCAAAGAAAATAAACAATTTGAGGAAACGGCAAAATAAAAATGTTACAAATGCAAGAGACTTTCAAGTCTTAAAAGAAGCTATTAATGGTGATAAATGCAGTTTCTTTCCTATTACGTGCATTACGGTAGCCCCGCCCTAGAACCGGAAGTCCGCATGACAACTTCCTTGGAAACCAGAAGCTTGCTTCGGATTTAGCATGTAGCCACTTGCTTCTTTGGAAAATGTCAGCTTATAAACTTGAGTGGCTCAAAACTATTTTTATTTCAAATCATGCGGACAGGTTGTGAGTGTAACTAATTGGTTGGACCTCAGTGTGTTCACAGTTTCACGCTCTTGTCGGCGAAATGATGTTTTTCTGTTTGTATTCGCTGCATGTTTTCATCTTCTCCTGCGGTCGTTTGGCTGTCGCAGCCACTGAAAGTGGGACCGCTTCTACTTCCTTACCAACAACAGAGGGTTCATCCAGCTCGGCCACCCCGGCTCCGGGCGGGACAGGGGCCACTCAGAAGGCTACTCTTCATCCCGCTCTGGTCACCATGGTAACCACAGTGGACTTGACGGTAACCGCTACACCGGTGTCTGAGGCGCCCTCTGCGGCCACCGAGGCTCCATCATCAACCACCGTTAAGACTGTGCTGTCTACAGAAGGTAGACATCTTTTAGTCCTTATGTTTTCTTTATGCAACAGATTTCATAACTGACTTCGTTGTGATGGCTTTCCAAAGAATTCAAGCCCAACTAGTGACACTTTATTCTCAACAGTTCTGAGAAAATCCTAAAATAAAAAATCACTGCAAGATTGTGATACAAATTTTAATCTTACTGGTTTTTTTATATATAGTTTCCTCCGTGTAGTAAATTAGATTGTCAGATGTAGGAACATTGGTTATCTGCTTAAATAACAACTCCACATGTTCAGATACATAAAAACATACTAAACTACAAAAAAATTAATTAAAAATCTGCAAATATTTTGCTTTATTGTCCCAATCTTGTTTTTCAGATTTCATTTTTAACCATGTTTTGTGTTGTACTTTTTATTTTTACTTATATTTACCTTTTTAGTCGTCATCTCCTTGCAGCCAGTCTTGTGTCATTATGTTAAATCCAAATATATATTTTACTTAAAGCTGGAATATTTGATTCAGTAATGTCCTCAGTTTGAAGGTGTTTTAACGCCAGGTTGTGATCGTGTCTGTATAAAACGATAAAACAGATTGACGCTATTCAATTCAATTCAAAAATACTTTATTAATCCCAAAGGGAAATTAAATGTTGTTGTAGCTCGTTTCATTAAGAGATGTGATAGATGCTGATGGCTGTAGGCAGGAAGGATCTCTTGTAAAGGTCCGTCCCACAGCGGATCCAAAGAAACTGGCTGCAGTCAGATGCGTCCGATCCGTCCACCCAGACTGGCCTCTCGGTTCCTCCGGGCGGCAGGACCGCCCGAATGCCGGGCAGAACTCCTCCCAGAGCCATCTCAAGAACCTGAGCAGAGGCCACTCCTCCCAGCAGCCTGCCAAGCTCCTCGTCGCTGCGAACAGCCAGCTGCAGGTGCTGGGGGGCGATCCTGTCCTTCTGCTGACATGAGCCATGCTTCCTGAAAGCTTCAGGATCTCAGTGGTCAGGCACTTGAGCACAGCCGGCAAGGAGACGGGAATGCATCTACGGTGCCTTCTTTTCAACTCATTTGAGAATTGGGGCTGTAGCGGAGATATTATTTGAGCTTTTGAGATGTTAATCAGCTGCTCCTGGTTGTAAAATGTCTTTATTTGTTTTGTCTGTGTTTATTTAATATACAACTATTTAGTTCTCTCAAAGGCTCAAACATTTTACGATTTTCTTCTTTTGCAACTTACGCTGTCAACTCTTATCAAGTCTTTTGATCTTATTTTGTCAAACCTCAGCCTTCTCTCTTGGTTTTCAGGTTGTCTCTGCGATCTGACGCCTGATTTTTGTGACATCGGCTGCTGTTGTGACACGGCGGACTGCGACGTTGCTAATTTAACAACTGTCTTCACTGGATGTCCACAAGGACGTCCGTAAGTCCCCCACACACACATTTACACACACATTTAGATGCATGCTTCAGCATGTAAAAGAACTCAACATCGCTTTAATTTCACAGAACAGGAGTCTGCGTTGACAAATGGCTCGTGTTCAGAGCCAACGTGGACTCGTCTCTCGTCTCTGTGACTGACACCTCGTTTTGTGTCCAACCTGAAGGTAAACAGAGAATTACTGATGTAATATTGTTTTAAATATTATTATCTTGATGTATAACATAGTTTTTTTCTCTCTCCCCTGACAGTTGGTGTCCCTCAGTCCCTCCCTGCGCTCCTAAAGTATCCAGCTTTAGGAGACTCGTACCACTTCGCCCCAGCAGGACATACATACATCAAACACAGCAGAGATTTTTACAGGGTAAATGTCAAACAGCTCGCTTCTCTTTTAGTTTAGTTGTCCAAAGCAAAATGTTTGGAGGTTTCCAATAAATGTATTTGATTAATAAAACCTTCCTTTTTTAGGCGGATGACGTTATCCAGGTGTTTTTCTCCAATTCGTCTGCGCGGAGTCTCCTCCGTCAGCCGTCTCCAGGGGCGGCATCAGCGTTCTGCTTCAACCGCAACCCTGCAAGTGAGTTCACGTCACATTCCAAAGGGTCGTGGTAAAAAAAAAATATAATAAAAAGAAAAAGAAGAAAGGACTGTAGAGGAAACTGGGAATGATTGGTAAAGTCATGATAAGGCTTTCAGCTGATCCTTTCGAAGCGTCATAGACGCAGGATTAGGATTATATTCCTGTTGTAGAAGCTGCTGTTTTCCACTTTCATCTTCCAGATTCCCAAATGTTTAGTTGAAATTACTCTTGCTAGATGTATTACATGTCTAAAGCATTTTTAAACATTTATGTGTAACTGATGGAGATTTACTTTTGTCAAAGGATTGTGCACTTTTTTACAAACATGTCTAAAAAATGTCTTAACTTTAATAATGGTTTTTTTTTCACACCTCAATTTGAGTTCTGACTTTATATTTAACACATTTTTTATTACAACAATATGAGGAAGGAGCTGCCTGAAAATATGTTTCATCGTCAATCTTGTGCTAATATTCGGCACGTTTATGTCACATGTAGCTGCTGAAGTCTCCTTGTTTCATTGCCGTCTATCTTCACTCTGTTTCCAGAGTTTCTGAGGTCGTCATCGCTGTCTTGTTCCCGCGTGGTGACGTCTCAGTCCTGTGACACCGATCCAAGTCTCAGCGCTCGCTCCTACTTCTCTGACATGAATCTGATAAAGGTCAGGATTTCATCCAGATAGTTTGAAGTACAACAGTACTGCTGGTCGTCTTACCACAGACAAGTCCTCATGAAATGTTTTGTTACAGATTCCAACAGCCCAGGTGGTGATACCATCAGATTTTCTGGTAAGTTGTGAACAGGTTTGACATTTTGCACAAACTTTTGAATTTTCTTGATGTTTTTCTGCCTTCACTGAGTTAAATCTTATTCATGATTTTGTACAATTGAAGTTCTACTCTTCTCTGCGCGCTAGCAAAGTTGTTTTCAATATGAGCTTGCAAATCCTGATATTTCTCAAATCCTTATATGGATGACGTTCCCTCTCTCAAATTAGGTTAAAAAAAATCCTTGTTAGAATATGCTAAAAATATAAAAAAATAAATAATAAATTAAAAATTGAAATTGGAAAAATAAAATGCGATTCTTGACCTGCCTCTCAAACCCAGCCGGTTGAAGCAGATGGCCGCTTGTCCTGAACCTGGTTCTGTTAAAAGTTTCTTCCTCACGAGGGAGTTTTTCCTTTCCACTGTCGCCTTCATGCTTGCTCAAAATGAGAGCCTGTGATGGAGTTAAACTCAAAGCAGTCTGCTCCTCAGATAAATAATGTTAACTTATTATTTTATATATGAATGTTTCTGTTCAGTGCCCTGAGATGACTTCTGTTGTGACTTATATAAATAAACTGAATTGAAAAATAGGATTCGGACCCATTTTCCAGGGGTTATCCCAATTAGCAAGACAAGTCCTTTATCTGGAACCACTCAGTGTAACAGGCTGATCGAAATGCAGCTTAAAAACCAGGAATCTGAAAATGTGCTTAGTTCCTTTTGACCAGATCTGACCTAATCCTTGATTTGAAGTGATGGGTCACAAATATTGTGCATGTTAACAGTAAAAACGGTTAATTTCAAATATAACTAAAGAAATCGCATTTCCTGCAAAAATGCAGTATGAATACTTATTGCTGAAGAGTTTTCTGAAAAACAGCTGAAATGTTGCTTAAATGGAAGAACAAGCCTAAATTAGCAGAAGAAAAGAGAAAGAACACATATTTGCTGAATTTGGTTTAGATAAGCAGAAATGAGCACAAAAAATAGGAAATTAGCTAAAAAAAAAAGCTGAAATTAACAACAACAACAAAAAAACCCCAGCTAAATAGTAGCTGAAATAGCAGAAAGAGTTGAAACTAGCAGAAAAAAGCTGAAAGCAGCGTAAAAAGCTGAAATTGGCATAAAGAAGTTAATTAGGCTGAAAGAAGCAGAAATTACCACAAAAAATTTGAATTTATCTGAAAACAGCTAAAATTAGCTAAAAATACTAAAAAGCTAGCTGAAAACATAAAACAACCTTAAAGTAGCAGAAGAAATCAGAAAAAACGTTTGCCCAGTTAGGCTGAAAGAAGCAGAAAAAAATTTAAATTATTTGAAAAAAGCTGAATTTAGCAATAAACAGCCGAAAAGTAGTTAAAAAGACAGAAATAAGCTTAAATTACCAGAAGGAAGGGAAGTGGAGAGCACATTTTTGCTGCATTAAGCCTAAAAATATTTAAATGAGTACAAAAAAGGTGGAATTAGCTGAAAAGTCTAAAATTAGTATAAAAACAGCTAAAATAGTAGAAAACGATGAAACTTGCAGAAATAAGCTGAAAGGAGCATAGCAAGCAGCAATTATAAGAAGCACAAAAATGTTGTAGTTAGCAGAAAGAATCTGAAAAGAGCACAAAACAGCTAGAAAAACATTGAAACTAGCTGAAAAAATTTAAATTTGCACAAGGAAGCTGAAAGAAGCTGAACCAGAACAAAATGTGAAAGGAGCAGTAAAAGGTTGTAAACAGATCTAAAGATTTGAAGGACGTAAAATGAGCTCAGTTCATTTCCTATGAGAAAAAAAAATGGCAGAAAAGGCTGAATATTTCAAAAGGCTAAAGTTGCATCAATACCAAAAGTCATAGCACCCTTCTCTTTAACGAGCTGAACGCTTTGATATGATTTTTTGAAGTAGCTTAAAAATTGCGGGACGAGAATCGTGCCGAAAAACGTACGGAAGAAAAATGGATCACAACAGTGTGAATGCTTCATAAACATTCAGACAATGATCTAATAACTGTTTTCAGATCCCAGTGACTCCACAGGCTGAGTGGCCTTCACCAGCGAAGCAAAACAACTCATGTCTAAATGTAGTGAAAAAGGTGAGTTACCACACAAATCTGTTTCAAAGGGAAAGTACAGGTGCTGGTCATAAAATTAGAATATCATAAAAGAGTTGATTTATTTCAGTAATTCCATTCAAAAAGTGAAACTTGTATATTATATTCATTCATTACACAGACTGATATATTTCAAATGTTTTTCTTTTAAGGTTGATAATTATAACTGACAACTAATGAAAACCCCAAATTCAGTATCTCAGAAAATTGGAATATTGTGTGAAGGTTCAATATTGATGACACCTGGTGCCGCACTCTAATCAGCTAATTAACTCAAAACACTTGCAAAGACCTTTAAATGGTCTCTCAGTCTAGTTCAGGCTACACGATCATGGGGAAGACTGCTGACTTGACAGTTGTCCAAAAGACGACTATTGACACCTTACACAAGGAGGGAAAGACGCAAAAGGTCATTGCTAAAGAGGCTGGCTGTTCATAGAGCTCTTTGTCCACGCACATTAATAGAGAGGCGACAGGAAGGAAAAGATATGGTAGGAAAAAAAAGTGTACACGTAATAAGGATAACCACACCCTGGAGAGGATTGTGAAACAAAACCCATTCCAAAATGTGGGGGAGATTCGCAAAAAGTGAACTGCAGCTGAAGTCAGTGCTTCAAGAACCACCACGCATAGACGTATGCAAGACATAGGTTTCAGTTTTCGCATTTCTTGTGTCAGGCCTCTTCACTCTTGAACAAGAGACAGCGTCAGAAGCGTCTCGCCTGGGACTGCTGCTGAGTGGTCCAAAGTTATGTTCTCTGATGAAAGTAAATGTTGCATTTCCTTTGGAAATCAAGGTCCCAGAGTCTGGAAGAAGAGAGGAGAGGTGCAGAACACATGTTGCTTGAGGTCCAGTGTCAAGTTTTCACAGTCAGTGATGGTTTGTCATCTGCTGGTGTTGGTCCACTGTGTTTTCTGAGGTCCAAGGTCAACGCAGCTGTCTACCAGGAAGTTTTAGAGCACTTCATGCTTCCTGCTGCTGACCAAGTTTATGGAGATGCAGATTTCATTTTCCAACAGGACTTGGTACCTGCACTCAGCGCCAAAGCTACCAGTACCTGGTTTAATGACCAGGATATCCCTGTTCTTAATTGGTCAGCAAACTCACCTGACCTCCATAGAAAATCTATGGGGTATTGTGAAGAGGAAGATGTGATACACCAGACCCAACAATTCAGAAGAGCTGAAGGCCACTATCAGAGCAACCTGGGCTCATAACACCTGAGCAGTGCCACAGACTGATTGACTCCATGCCACGCCACACTGCTGCAGTAATCCAGGCAAAAGGAGCCCCAACTAAGTATTGAGTGCTGTACATGCTCATACTTTTCAGGTTCATACTTTTCAGTTGGCCAACATTTATAAAAAATCTTTTTTTATTGGTCTTAAGTAATATTCTAATTTTCTGAGATACTGGATTTGGGGTTTTCATTAGTTTTCGGTTATAATCATCAACATTAAAAGAAATAAACATTTGAAATATATCAGTCTGTGTGTAATGAATGAATATAATATACAAGTTTCACTTTTTGAACGGAATTACTGAAATGAACTTTTTTCATGATATTCTAATTTTATGACCAGCACCTGTATTTTAGTTCATATTAAAGTCAGACTCGGCTGTGCTTCTTCGGATTTCCCTGCAGGTTGAGTTTATTATAGGTTACACAGGCAGGGGTGAACTCTCATACGCAACAATCAACGTTGAGCTGACTGCTTCGACTTTGGATCAGCTCCTATTACAGACGCACTCTGTACGTTTTCAGGCAAGTAGTTTAAACCTGCTCTGTATTTTACCTCACCTAATGAAGTATGAATTTAACTAGTATAATCACAAATTTATTGCAGTTGATCCCATCCAGGCCCATACCAGAGACAATTATACCTTCTGCTGGACTTCGAGTGGGGTCTCCAGTCACTGGTCGTTTTGATGGCGAAGTGCAGCCTGTATCCTCAATAAGACTTGTAGAAGCTGTAATTTATTTGAGCTGCCATGTTTAGTACCATTATTTTATCACAGTTCCTAAACAGTGAGTTAGTTGACATTACTTGGGCTGTCACAAGGTGGAGAGTGTTCCTCTGACCCCAGTGGACGAGCGGCCGTCCTCTTCCCCCACAACAGCATCACCGGCTGCACATTCACGTGAGTCGACACCATTTTGTCTCAGCTTTTATTAACACTTAGTCGTCAAGAAATCCACCCCACTATCTAGGATTAAAACAAATCACATTCCCAGTTTCTGTCAAATCTCCCGTCTAGTTCCTCTGCGAGTAATTGCACCAAGCTACGGTCTCAGATTTATGGGATTTTGCAAGGACCTGCAGCTCCCGATGTGATAGCCATGAACTCTGGCTCACAACCGGACTGGACGAGAGTCATCAGGCAGGAGTGTCCTCTCAGCTCACAGGTACCACCTAGTTAAGGATGTAATAAATGGATGTGTGAGTGAATGCACTACAGGTGTGTTTGAGTCTAGATACCTGAACTCTATTAAACCTGTAGTAAATAAGTGATGCGCGATAAACTGGTCCCCTAGAGCCACAGAATGATCCTGTCTTTTTCTGCATGTTGTCAATATTAATAGAGCATCAGATCTGTATTTGGTGAACCTTCTGTTTAGTTTTGTTTTCTCTCTCAGGAAACGTGTGACTCAGGCTGCCTCCTCCCTCAATCCCTCTACGTTCAAGTGCTGTGGGCTCGTCAGGGCTTCATTGACCTTCCTCAGAAATACATCCTGGGAGGCCAGTTTCTCTTCCACTGTCAAAAAGTCAAGGTACACAAACACGTTCTTATTCTGAAAACCACAGCTAACCTTTCCTTTATATTCTGCTTTCAGTATTTAAAACTCTCCGTCTTTATGTTCCAGTGCCCTTTATCGTCACCTCTCGTCCTGACAACCAAAGTTGCCTTTATTGACACCACAGTTTACCCCAAACCCCCCCGAGGTTTGCCTCAACCTCACTGGAAGTTTCCGTTTGGCTTCTTCACGAGAGGCGCCGCTGAGCTGGACGGCCATGTTGTTCCTGACAGCAGCGGTGCCGAGGAGGTCACGAGGAGTTTAATGCTGCTCACCGTCTTGTTAATAGGATTAGAATTACTCACAACGTAGCTTCTGTGGGAGGAGTGGAGCACCGAGGAGTTTTAGTTTTCCATTTGTACAAAAAAGGAGAGTTTACTGTATATATGTATATTTTGTTTAAACTATTTTACTAAATAAAGTCATTCTGTTAAACAGAAGGCAAACAACGTTTTTATTGGCTTATTTTACAAAAGTACATTTTTACATTTTAAATTGACGTTTCATTAAGGTAAAGAAACATTCCTTGCACACAGGTCCTCTTCTCTTTCCTCCTCCTGGTTCTGTTGGTTTCTTTGTATCGTTTTCTTTGGTTTCTCCTTAACAAGTACATAGTTGAGGAGAGCCACAATTGCAGCGGGTGTCACCCCCTCCAGGCGGGTGGCAGCGCCCAGCTGAGAGCAAAGAACAGTCATGTCTCGCATTATTGAACTGAAAACAAAACTTGG